CTTCTGGAACATGTTTATAGCAAACAGAACCAAACACCTTTAGATGACTAACACTTTGCTTATCTCCAGTCCACTTCTGTATTGGAACTATTTCCTTCAACTTCTTCGTAGGACATCTGTTGAGTACATACGTTGCAGTGGCAACAACTTCTCCCTAGAGCTTCTGAGGAAGCTTCTTCTCCTTTAGCATGCTTCTCACCATATCAAGCAAAGTACGGTTTCTTCTTTCAGCAAGACCATTGTGTTGAGGGGTATAAGGAGCAGTGACCTCATGCTCAATTCCATTCTCCTCACAGAACTTCTGGAACTCTTTGGAGTTATACTCACCTCCACCATCAGTTCTAAGAATCTTCAACTTCTGACCACTCTGATTCTCAGCCTTCATTCTGAACTTCTTGAATTCATCAAACACCTCGTGTTTGAACTTAATAAGGGATACCCATGTCATTCTTGTGAATTCATCAACAAACAACACAAAGTATTTATTCCCTCCAATTGATGCTACTGGAAATGGACCACACACATCAGAGTGTACAACTCCCAAGGCATGTTTTGCTCTTGGAGCAACTTCTGATGCAAATGGCAATCTTGGTTGTTTTCCTTCCATGCAAACTTTGCATGACTTTTCAGGCTTCTTAATTGCAGGAATTCCATGTACCAATTTCTTTGAATTCAGATGTTGTAAGCTTCTGAAATTCAAATGACCAAATCTTCTGTGCCACAGCTCACTCTCCTTCTCAGTACTTGTTGCACTAAGACACTCTGAGTCTGCAGTTCTGACATTCACCTTGAATGTTCTATTCCTTCCCTGTTCTGACTCCATAATCAGCTTCTGATTGCAGTCATACAACTTCAGAAGATTATCCTTCATGGTAACTGAAAAACCTTTCTCAATTAATTGTCCCACACTCATCAGATTGCTTCTGATGCCAGGTACATACCACACATTCTGAATCAATGCTATTTTCCCATTGTTCAGAGTCACTCTGACATTTCCCATACCTTCTGCATTAAGATATTTGTCATCAGCACATCTGATCTTTGTCCTCTTTTCAGAGTCAAAGTCAACCAGCCATTTCTTGTTTCCAGTAAGATGATTTGAACAGCCAGTGTCCATATACCACCAGTCTGTCAGATCATCAGATTCAGAGGCCATTAATAGCACAGATTCGTCATCAGAGCCTCTGGCTATATTTGCTTCTTCTGATTTCTTCTCCTTGTTTGACCAACAATCTCTAGCAAAATGGCCAAACTTCTTACAACAGTAACATTGTATTTTTCTTTTGTCATACTTCTCTTTTCCCCTCTGAGCATTCTTTTGTCTATCAGAGGTTGAGCTTTCTGACTTCTGACCACCATCAGATCTTCTCCTGGCTTCTGACTGCTTCTGATACCTCCTATCAGAAGTTGCTTTCAGAGCCTGCTGTTCTACTTCCTTTTCAGAGTTTCTCTCAGTCAGACGCAACTCTTGCGCTTCTAGACTGCTCTGCAGCTCTTCAATTCTCATTGTGCTCAGATCTTTGGAATGTTCTATTGCTACCACAATGTAATCAAATTGAGGAGTAAGGGATCTCAACACTTTCTCCATGATTGTTTCTTCAGAAAGAGTTTCTCCACATGCCTTCATCTCATTAGTGATCAGAATCACTCTGGAGATGTATTCAGAAACTTTCTCATTATTCTTCATGTTGAGATTCTCATATTGCTTTCTCAAGGACTGAAGCTTCACCTTCTTCACTGATGCGTCACCACCATAACATCTCACCAGAGTGTCCCATGCAGCCTTTGCTGTTGTAGAATCTGCAATCTTCTCAAACACGTTTACATCCATACATTGATGAATGAAGAACAATGCTTTCTGATCCTTCTTCCTTACTTCCTTCTGCGCATTTTTCTGTTCATCAGTCGCATCTGCTGCTACCGGAACATAACCATCAGTGACAAGATCCAGAACATCTTGAGCACCAAACAGTACACGCATTTGGATCATCCAACGATTCCAATTTTTACCTTCAAATACTGGAAGTTTGGTGTTCATGTTGCCGTTTCCGTTCATCTTCTACTTTGCACAATACACTCAGAGTTTTCTCACACAGTGTTTCCCAACCCACAGAATTAAAAAAAAAATTCTGATCAGATTTTGTTCAAGATTCAACAAGAATCTGAGAAACAAAATCAAACACACAAGACCTCACGTTCACTCGTGTTTCCCGTGTTTCCCAATGAATCTGAACCGGAGCTCTAGATACCAATTGTTGGTGCAAAGGTGAATAAATGATGAACAAAGAAAATATTCTATTAAGAATGACGGCTACAAAACATGATATTTGGTTACAATGATTGTCACCCTATTTATAAGTTAAAACTAGGGTTACTAGAATAAGATAAATACTAAAATACCCTCTAACAAACTTATGGGCTTAAGAAAGTAATATAATAAAATATGAATTATTACTAATAATAACATATCTTCCATAATCCGTTTTCAATTGAATATTTCTAGAGATATATTTACAAGAATTTTCTGAAGATATATCTTTGAAGTGTATTAGAACAAGTTTTTTTTTTATAACGCGTTGTGTATTTGTTCGCAAATAAAATATAAAATAAAAGACATACAGAATAATATAAAAATATAATATAGTAATAAAATATCGTACAACACGAAATGCAACAAAATAAATACAGACTACTGGGTCTATCTCCTCGGCCATTAATCGCCCCCGTCCTCACGCGATGTCTACAATATATTGTGTCCCCTGTGTCTCCGCAACCATGACATCCAGTATTGATTGCACAGTAGATCCCTTGGAAATTCGAAAAAATTTATTTATGTGATAAAGGGCAGGAATATTCCTATAAAAACAAAAAATAATTAATTATAACTGCTCATTTATATATTATTATAACATTTTTCTATAAATATTTAAAATTATAAATTATAAATTAAATTTAATTTCAAAATATTTTTGAAAACCTAAATAACTTGCCAAAAATTAAATTTCCAGCAATAAAAGTTTTAGAAATAAGATTTTGAAAACACTTGCATAAAAATGAACATAACATGTAATTTTACAAACAATTAATCATAATTGTTTTATTAATTAAAAAATAAAATAAAATTTTCTCTCTCATTCATTATCATCACCATTCCATTATTTCTATTAAAAAGTTAATCTTTTTCTTATTGATTGTTCTAAAAATATGAATTTAAATATGTTCTTATATCCAAGTATTTTCTTTAATATTTTTGAAATTATAAAAAAAAGTTGACTTAATTTACCTTTTGATCTATTAATTTAATTTATTATTTATTTTTGGTCTCTTAGTTAAAAAAATATTACATTATAATCCTTAAAACAATTTTGTTATTCAAATTGATTCATTCCATTAAATTTTGAGAAAAAAATATTTAACTGTGCATATGTGGCAGTCTACTTGTTAGTATGTTATCTTCCCTGACATTTTATTTTGTTTATTTTTAATTTATTATTATTTGTTATTAAACATCCGAAACACTAATCATAATTTCATTCCCTTGCTCCAAATCCTCTTTCTTTCTCAAAATTCTCTTCCCATTACTACTTCCTTATACATCTTCGTTCTTTCTCTAAATCCTTTTTATTTTCGTTGTGAGTTATAAATAACACTAACTCATGACATATTATTAAGATGTAAAATAATTTTTTTATACAACTTACTGAGTTAGTCGTTTCGACGAACCTCTATCTCTGTAAAAATCATCTTCTATGCTTTGTAACTGAAACTAAAATTAGAATTTTGTTACTTATAATTTTGCATCTTTTTTTAGTGTAATGTAGTTTGTTGTTATGCAATTTATGTTTAATTTTTGTACGTTTTACCCAGATGAATGGTGAAAAATTGATGAAGATGATCGGTTCAAACCGGTGGAAAAGTTAGAGTTTGTCATATTTGTTATGTTAATACTTTTATAACATTTTGTTCTTCAAAATTCTTTCAAAAATTTATCATTTGTCATTGAGTCAATAAATTGTTTTGTTGTTAATACTTTTAATCCGACAAACTTTATATATATATATATATATATATATATCTTTTCAGATTTTACTGACTATTAAATTGGATTGTTTTCTTTTCGGTTCAAACATCCATTGCAACTAATATGAGTTGGTGCACCTCAAACCAAAAATAAGATACATTAGATTATCTGAATTATTTCATTTTATTTTTGAATACAGTAAGGCGTTGCTGCCCACATTTTACGAACGACCTTCATCATGTGTTGCTTGTTAGTTGGTTGATTATTTGCCATCGTATGAAATCAAAATTTTATTTTCCTCTTCTTCTTAAATCATCATTTATATATATTAATTAACTTTTTTTTAATGTTTTGAAGAATATCTTTTTGAAAGATGATTTGGAGGGATTGTTTTACTAAAGCAGAAAATGATGACATCTTGATTTTATTTTCTGTAAATTAATTAATTATTTTTATATTTTTTTGAGTTAATTATTTAAATTAACTAATTTTTTATGTTTTTGTGTATTTTTTATTTTTATATTTTTTAAAGTTAATTATGAATATATAAATAAATTTGTATTATTTATTATTATTTTTATTAATTCATTGTATAGTTGGCATGCAGACAAATATTAGTAATCGATAATATTAACAAAACTAATACAAAAGAAACAAACCGTAAGGGACTAAAGAGAAATTAATAATTAACTTAAGGATCTAGAAACTATGAGAAAAAAAAAATTATGTATACTTAAGGAGTAAAAAAGAGTTGAGAAATATTTATCCAAAATTCGGAAGAAAAAAAGTTGGTAGCTTAGCTTTAATTAAAGGTCACCAAAACCCAGCAGTTAAAGAGAATCAGAACGTGGCTTGTGAGCCACACTTTCGAGAACGTGTGTTCGTTCGTTCTAGCTCTAAGCATACGATACAATACTTACATTATTTCATAAATACGAGCCATTGTAGTGTAGTATAGCATAGTGTAGCTAGTAAAGTTATGTTGCCGCCTCCTATCGTCTTCGATCTCAACGATGTAAAACAAAAACTCTCCGTTCAATTTCGTCCTTTGCAACGTTCTTTCCAGTTCTGGGTTCGAGCCATTGATATCTACACCGGATACAAGGTCTCTCTCTTTCTCTTTCAACAATTCCTACATTAATTCAACTACGGGAGTGAATTTCCAATTTGCTTCATTCATTCGTATTTCAGGTGTTTCAATTGAGAGTCAATTTCGAGAAGGATGTGCTGAAACAAGAAGCAATGTGGGAAAGACAGCACGAGCTTGCTGCTGATAAGATTTTCTCTATGTGCTCTGACCTTGGTGGTTTCTTCCTCAAGGTTTTTCTCTACCTTTTGGTTCAGTTGGACTTGGTTTTATTTTACATGCAATTTTGATTTTTGATTTATTTTATGTTTTGCATTTTGTTTCTCGTGTTGATTTTGTTGTATTTTCTTGTAATCAGATTGCGCAAATTGTAGGGAAACCGGATTTGGCACCTGCTGCATGGGTGAAAAGGCTTGTTACGCTCTGTGATCAAGCTCCTGCAACCTCTTTTCATACTGTTAAACTTGTGCTAGAGAATGAGTTGGGACTGGGTATTGATGAGGTGTTTGATAGGTTTGATGTTGAGCCTCTTGGTTCCGCTTCAATTGCTCAGGTCCATTTTACTTCTTCCCATATCAACTCATTTTTATATGTGTCTTCATTAATCGTCATTATTTGAATTCTATAATGGTTGTTAATACTTCTTAGGTCAATTTAACTCCCAAGTACTGCCACCGTTCCTAAATATAAGATTTGTTTATAAATCACGAAAATTAAGAAAATTAACTGTGTTATTTAATTTGTTGTATGATGTTACAAGATGTTAGATTTATAAGAGAGATGACCAATATACATAATGTCTTAAGGTTTTGGGTGGAAATGGGGCGTCTCCCTCTTTTGTGGTCCTAGAACATTGATCCTGTTTTTGCTTCTGATTCCCAGACTCGCCAACACAAGTTTACCGTCGAGGAGAGAGAATTAGTTAATGTTATGATAGATAAGGATTTTGTAGTTAATATTCAAGAAGATCCTACGTTTAGAGACAGAGGTGGTAATCAATATTTGGGCTAAATGGAGATACATAGTTGAAAATAATTAAGGTCGTGTGGGAGAAAGATGATACATTTGTGAACGGGGTTCACAGTGCTCACCTGCCTGTGATTTGCAATCATTTTAAATGATATTTTTTGTTACAATGTTAGGGCATAACCTTTTTATTCTGTTGTGGGAAAATATTCTAGACTGGCATTTTTGTGTGTGCATGGGTGTTGTCAAGAGTGATATTTGATAGGTGGAGTGGCTACCAGATTTACCCCGTGATATCCTAGATTTGATTGATTGTTTGTCATAGAGCTGGTGTGTTGTTTGGGTGGTATATTTGAATGGATAGATTGGTGAAACCAGGGTAGTGGTTTACTTGGCATAGGCAATCAGAAAATAAAATAGTGTGGGCCTATGGGCAAAATTCACTAATGATCGTTGATACGGTGGCTGATGTACACGCAACAGTTCTTAAACTGTTCTTCATGCAATTCATATTTAAGTTGTATAGGTACTCTTGAAGATAAATTTAGATTAGTTTGCATCTATTGTGCTGTCCATCTCTGTCCATTTACTTTTAAGTGCAGAATTTATGTTAATCAAGAGTGACGGTTTGGTTATGTCTGAGATATTCATGTTCACACTTTTTTGTTCTTTTTCCTATTTAAATTTCTATTTTATTATGCCAATGCAATTCATTCTAATTGGTAGCTGAATAATTTTGAACATGTTGATTAACAACTGAATTGTTGTGTGAACAATTGTGTTTCAAATTTTAACAGGTTAGCTGTTTCCACTGTCCAATGTTGATTTTTAGCAGTGTAAATATGTTTTCTTAATAGAAGCAGTATTGTAAAAAGTTGTGCTGTTTCTTGGGATTCATGTTAACATCATGTATAAATCCTCACGGGGATTACTTAGCAACTTATTATTTGTAGTCATAAATTCTTTTTAAGATTTGGCACCATGTAAGTATGTAAGTAACATATGTTTTTTTGTGATAGGTTCATAGAGCGAGACTGAAAGGTGACAAAGGTGATGTTGTTGTCAAGGTAAACGAACTAGACAAGTCTTATGACTGAATCCCATAGTAAACTTCTGATTCTAATTTACTTTGCATGCAAATAGGTTCAGCATCCTGGAGTTCAGGATCTGATGATGACAGATATCCGTAACTTGCAAGCTTTTGCTTTGTACATGCAAAAAACAGATATCAAATTTGATCTATATTCGGTGACAAGAGAAATGGAAAAACAGGTGTACATTATTTCATTGCAATACTTCTCTTGCATGTCACGGATCAGGATTATTTAATTCCCACTTATTTCTTTCCTCCCTGCTTAGTGGGTTTGTTGACTTATAACATCTTAACCTAAGAAGGAAAGCATTGTGGGATATATTTTTCAATTTCAAAGTATTGAAGAAGTTCTTATTTGTTTCTTGTGCTTTCAAATTCAATTTGTTTCTCAAGCTTTCTTATTCAATCAGTCACATTAAACCCTTTTTCTCCATAGACAGGATGTATTACTCTCCCTAAATTTCACTAGACAAAAAGTAAACTGTGTTGTGTCATGTAAGTATGGTGGCGATGAAAACACACAATGAATAAACGATACTTTGATGAAGAGGACCACCCCTCAGCCTAAAGTTTATAAGCAGAGGAACCCTTCTGATGTAACCAACTACAAAAATAACAAAGTTATCATCCTTTCCCTAACAGAACTTCTCTCTGTTTTCCTTCCCACCATACTTGTGTGCATGTAGAAATGACTTCCCCTTATTCTCAGGTACTCTTTCCCTACCTTTTGGCCACATTGCTCTCAAACATTGCACATATCCTATACCAAACCTAGGTCCAGGCCTTTTGGTTAGATACTTGGGCTGTTAAGTGTTAACACTTGGTTCCTTTTCCGAGTTTATTGGCCAAAAGGATTTAATCATTCTGACATATATTTTAGAGCATTTTGTGACTGAATCTCAACAAAATGTTTATGAATGAGGTGATTATTGACTGTCTGATTTGAACCTAAATCTGACCTAACATTTTGAAAATATTGCTTGCATATTTTTTTATAACATTGTTCTGCTAATAAGGTTTTTGGAGGAAGCAATAATTTAGGCTCTAGCAGGTCTGTTTTTGTTACATGTTCAAAAGCAAATTTTTACTTCAGTGAAATCAGAGCAAGCTTCTCTTTAAGTAACAAGTAAATCATGTTTAAACTACTAAAGTAGAGCACTTTATCTGTGAATGACAGCAAATTGATTCTTTAGTGAGAAAAGAAAGCTGACCTCAAGCCTTTTGCTACCGTTTAGCCTATTGTCTAAAAGTTGTGTAAATCGTTGAGCTTCTTTTCTATGGTTTTAGCCTCATGGGCATGTTAATAATTCTGAACTTCTACATGATAATTATTGTAGATTGGATATGAATTTGACTTCATGAGGGAGGCCAGTGCAATGGAAAGGATTAGAAAGTTCTTGTATAAAGTTAACAGAAGGACTCCTGTTTTGGTGCCAAGAGTAATTCGAGATATGGTTACTAGGTATTCAGCACAGCATCTTACCTAGTCTGGATAAGATAATATTAATAATGTACGAGAATGCTTAACTTTATTATTTCAGAGAGGAGTGTGAACAATTTATTTATTGGACTTGGAATAAGCTTTTGTCTCCAAAATTACATGTTAAATGACATTTGGTTCTAGCATTACAAATTTTTTATCATATGCATTTTATTTCTTTCCTAGCTAGTTTTGCAGTTATATATTTGTGGAATATTAGGTTTTTGGACAATATATTAACAATAAAATACTTGGAAAGTGTGACTAGTATTGCACTATTAGTTCTGCACACAGTTGTTATCAGGATCTATAATTATATGTCATGAATATAGCATCTCATCATTATCTTTTGAGCTTGCCATGCCAGCCGCGCTGCATTGCAAAAATTCCCTTTATTATAAAAACAGTACTGAATTGAAAACAATGAAGAAAATAAGCTCAGTGCAGAAAAAGTCTTTTTATATGTTACACATTAAATCTTGGTTAAATGTTAAATAGATGTGTAAGCTTTTTGTGTATTCGTTTGGTTAACCATTATTTAGATTCATTGGTTTACATCTATTTCATTTGTAATGAGATTTTGTAGTAATTATGTGCTTCTTTGGTTGTACAGAAGGGTCCTAGTTATGGAGTATATTGACGGGGTTCCAATAATGAACCTTGGCGATGAAATAGCAAAGAGAGGCATAAATCCTCATGGTAAGGTTGCAGCTGCCGCAAAGCAGTAAGTTCCTGAACCATCCTGAAAGCAGTCCTGTACACCCTACTTTTGTTTTGGTCAATAAATTTTACCTGTCCTGAACTATGATTCTTGACATTTGCTTGTAGTTTTCTGGTCTATTTTGCACCATCAAAGTAAACTTATTTGTTCATTCTTTTTCTTCATGACCTTCTCTCATGTAGTTTAACTTTTTCCTTTCTTTCCAATTCTAGTCACTCTCTTACTCTCCTGCAGATCTCTTGGTTGTTATGTTTTTTATTTCTAAGGGCATATTTGAACTTAAATGCTAGTAAGTTTTAACTTGAGGGAGAGTGTTAGAATATTCGAATTATAATCTCTTTTGTTATGTTAGAGTATCTTAGTTTATCTTGTGCGATCAATTTGTAATCTTAGATTATCTTAGGCTATCTCCTAGGATTAGTTTTTATATTACTTAGGTAATGTTATATCGTTGTCCTGATTTCTCTATTTATTTAGGATTAGGAGTCCTGTATTCCTATAAAATAGGGTTTGTGTTTATTCTTTTGTATCGAGCTACTATCAAGTTAGTAGCATATTATTATCAATAAATTTTAAAGGTCCTATTATTTCTCTCATCCTCTCTAAAACCCACAACTTTCAACAGAATCTATACATTTAAACCATAAATTTGGCATAACTACGAATAACAAATATATTATGCTTCTGATAGTGATCCTCAAATCAAAATGTTGCATGACTAAAACAAATTTGATGAGTCTTGGCTCTCATTCATCTTTCAATAAATTTAATTTCTTCATATATGGTTGAGTTTAATAACAGTAACACCAACATTTTCTGAAAGATTCATTACATTTATTATTTTTCATACTTATGTATATTGTTTCAGGTGTATTACACTGTTAACTTTCTTATGGACCTGCAGGAAAATTCTTCAAAGCTTGACTCTAGCATATGGTCAAATGATTTTGAAAAGTGGGTTCTTCCATGCAGATCCCCATCCAGGAAATATCCTGATTTGTAAAGGGTCAGAGGCAAGTCATCACTTAAATTTATTTTCATTTTCTTCTATGTTATTTCATGTCTCTATGGGCGATATCCTTTTGTTATTGAATAGTCGTTGTCTTACTCAAGAGGAATCAAATATGGAAATGACTTAGTGATAGAATATTGATTTTTAGTTTGACATATTTTAAACTTTTAACCACCTTAATATTAGTATTTTTTGTTGAGTCAGGTTGCCTTGCTAGATTATGGACAGGTGAAGGATCTCCCAGAGCAATTGAGGCTTGGTTATGCTAATCTCGTTCTTGCAATTGCTGATGGTGACTTAGTAAGAGCTTCTGCGAGCTTTAGGTACGGATATTTGCTGAGTCTTATACTCTTATTTATCAAATGCTTCTTTTCTTATTTTATAGAAAATAAGAACCGAAATAGACAGTTAGCTAATGCCAAGTTACAAACTGTACTAGTTGTTCTACTGGGAATAGAGGAGAGAATAATTTATGTGGAATATGGTTGATATGAGAAGTAAAAACAGAGAGATGATGATAGGGGAGAAAACATAATGGGAATGTTGGAAAATATAAAAAAAAAAAAATATTAGCTCTTAATTCTTCACAAGTAGCACCGAATTTGATGGCCTTTTCAATTTATCTTTACTAAAATTGATTGCCCAAACCCTATATTAATATGAAATCCTGATTGAACTGTAAAGTATAATCACAAAATCTTTTGTCTATATGCACTTCAGCATTCTTAAATGACTTTGCTAAAACTCTAAATCAACTTAAATTATGTGAAATATGGGCTTCATTGGAAGAAAGTTGACTTAACATAATTTTGAATTGAGAATGGTAATTGATCAGTGGCTATATTCAATTCACATTAATTAACTACTTCTTTTACTCTTATTTTGCAGGGAGCTTGGCATAGATACATTAAGCAAATGTGAAAATGAGCAACAAGAAATGTTTAAACTGGCAGAGACAATGTTCGATACAAAATTACCGCCTGGTGTGAAAATGTTGCAACCTTTTTCAGATGAATCTTCAATTAAAAAAATAGCTGTTCAGGTACATTCTAGAGTACAAATGTGCATTCCACATTTTTCCCAGCGATTACACATCCTTGATGTAACATGAATGTCTGTGAGGGAGGTCTTTGCTGTGCATAAAAAGATGTTAACCACATAAAACTAAGGGGAATCCAGGGATTGAGAATTTTCTTTAAAAGGATTTGTAGATTTCATTAAATAATGCAACACGTATTGATGCATACATATAAACAATATTTATCATCACGGAACAAGCAGGAAATAATTTGTTAATATTTTTTGCTGCTACCTTTTCTTCACTAAATTTTTATTCTTGTGTTTGGTTACGGTAGGCTTTCCCAGAAGAATTGTTTTCTATACTTCGGACAGTGCATCTACTGAGGGGACTAAGTGTTGGACTTGGAATCAATTATTCTTGTGCGGAACAGTGGAGACCCATTGCTGAAGAAGCTTTGTCTCAAGCTGGTAGATTTAAAGGTGCCACTGTAGTTTCTGTTTAAAATGGAAGTTTACAATAAATGACAAAAAAACTTAAGATCAATTTAATTTTTAAGGCTTTATACATCATTTTAAGTTTCAATCCCTATAAAAAGTTGTTAACGTTTGTGTTCATATTCATAGAACATAGGAAAACTGCTTTTTGTTTTCTTTGTTTTGGTTTTAAATTTCTACTCCATGTGATATTATGCATGTTGAAATTAGCGTAAGAGAAAACATGAACAAATATTAGATAAACTAAAATCCAAACATCCACCATAATGTATATATTACTGAACTTAAAAAGTTATTTCACATGTTTTCGATTTCTTATTTGTATGATCTATGGTGTATATATTTTTTATTATGATATCTCTTCATTCTGCTAAACCAGATATATCTAATTCTGAGTTCACTTGTCGATTTCACAGATAAAAATCTTCAGCACAGAGGTAGATTTCATGGTATATTAAAAACATTATTTTGGAGAGACTAAATAGGTAGATATGGATCAATCTACATTTGTTTAGTTTGTTGATTGACTGACAAATTCTGCATGGCATTGAAGAAAGATAAGTTGATCTTCAATATGGCATGAAAGTTTCACATTGATTGAGAGGCGATCACAAGTAGATGTTTCTTACCATTATTTAAATTTTTTGAAAAATGTATAATGACATTATGGAGTCTGTGCATATTTGAGTCCGTAGCAAGAAATTTCCTATGACTAAGTTGATTATTATCTCAATAGGTATCATTCTTCCTCAAGGTCAGAGTTCAATTTTGTAGCTTACTGAAAGTACATGGAATGGCATTTGGACATGGTGAGATCACCACCAAAAAGATGGTTTCAAACACACTGTTGTATAGTAGGAAGCACTATGTTCAATTTATTTATTTTTTAAATTATTATAATGCCAATGCGGCGGTGTCGTGTCGTGTGAGTGTTTCATTTTCTCTATACATCCATGCGTTTATATTTTTCTTAAAAATACCCTTATTTGACAAATCGCTAACCATATATTTTTAGAAATACCCCAATTTGAAACATCTCTTACCATTTATTTCTAGAAAGGGCATTCTTATAGTTAAGAGTAAATCTCTTACCATTTATTTCTAGAAATACCCCTGATTGAAATATCTCTCGCCATTTATTTCTAAAATGAGCATGTTATAGATAAGAGTCTCATATTGAAACATGTACTTATGTTTATAAGTTTGAGTTATACTTAACCCAAATTTAAATTTTAGAATGATATCAGTCTCTTTAAAGATCTATAAGGTTGCTTGTTATTAGATTTCTGCTATTGATCTCATTTAAAATCTAGTTGTTATATATATATATATATATATATATATATATATATATATATATATATATATATATATATATATATATATATATATATATATATATATATATATATATATATATATATATATATATATATATATATATATATATATATATTGATCTATCCTGATCAGAAGGGGACCAAGAACTTGCCACACGCAGTTAATCTGCTGTCTGTTCACCGGTATTGAAAAGGAGATGGGGGGTGTACCTGCAAGAGACTCTGATGCCAAAGTACTCTCTTCGAGAAAGGGGTATTTATAGAGAGACTTCAGCGCTGGGCCAACGGTCACTTGTGTTGGGTTGGATTGTCAAGCCCAACCCAGGTGACTGCTAGGGCTTACGTGGCGTAGTGAAGACCGGAACGTGGTCTTCACCCTAGTTCAACTGCTCTGTGGACTTCGGAAAGTGGGTTGACTTGCTCTTTCGGAAGTGGACAGTTGGTTGATGACGTGTCCCCGCGGAGGAGAGCACATGGAGAATGTGTGAAAGACCCGTTGTTCCCGACAAGAGAGAAGGTTCTGCCCGGCGGGGATCATCTGCTCGACTGATATATATATATATATATATATATATATATATATATATATATATATATATATATATATATATATATATATATATATATATTATCTTTTAACTATTGTTTAATCTTTCTCATCATTCGATCTCATTTTACTTAGATACCGTTTTCTCAAATGACATACCATGTACTACATTATTCAGCTCTTTTACATTCGATTTGCTGGTCTAACCCTTCTCGTTTTGTCTGTGTGATAAAAATTGAATATTGACAATTTTTTTTTATTTGAGGATTTGTTATTTGTTCAACCAACAATTTTTGTATGTATTTGTGGTAATATTTTTAAGGTTGTGTTTGACCTAACTTATTTTTGTTTCTCTTTTCTTCTCCTTTGAAGGAGAAGCTACATCAAACATGACTTTTCAAAAGTTCTAATTTGAAAATGCAATCGTTGAGTCTTTTAAGAAGTTTCAAATGAGATGTTGAGATAATAAGATGTTTCACTTAGGGGTGTGCAAAAAAACCGGTTATTGTTAACCAAATTTGTATCCAAATCGTTCCACTTTTAAAAATCCAAACCAAATGCCAAATTATAAATTTGGCTATCCATTTTGTTATCAAAATATAAATCGGTTTTCATGTGATTTAGTTATTGGTTATCCAAATTTTATTATTTGTTAAATTAATATGTTTTTGTTTCTTTTCATGTTTTATCATATACACGTTATAAACTAATTTTATATTTTAATTTTTAAACCAAAAGATTCAAAATTTTGTATTTTAAAATGAAAAAAAAAAATTGTTTACAAATTCTCTAACTATCTAAAATGGTGTACTAATACTTCACAAATTATATGGACTTTTATCAGTTAATTATATGAACTTTCAGTATTAATTATATAAGTCTTAATGCATCTAGTTTGATTTGGTATGTGCAAGAAAATATACCAAAATTTGACTGGTTGGATTTGACTCTAGTTTTCATTTATAAATCTCAAAGTTCATTAAAGCCTTATGAAAAAATAATTATAAATATTATAGATTTCTCCATCAATAGATAGATGTTTTGAAATATACAAATATATGTATTATAAATATTAGTTATCATTTTAAGTTCATATAATTTGCTGAAATTTTTTATTTTACAAATTTTTATTTTCAATTCTATTTTTAATTTTTAGATTTTTTTTTAAAATTGTTTTTAAAATTTTATATATATTTATTTTCAAAGAAAAAATATATTAAAATCTAAGTATTTAAATTTTAAAATTGATATGATTTAAAAAAAATATATTAAATTTAAATTTAATTAAATAATTTGGGTTAAAATCAAAATCCATTTAGAACCAGTTTTAAACCGGTTTAGAACAAGTGGTTTGGTTTATAAATCATAACTATAAAAATGGTTTGGTTTATAAACCATAACCATAAAAATGGATTAGTTCATATTAAATGGTTATTCATGCACACCCTTAGTTTCACTAAACTATCAGGTTAGGTGAAATCTAGTTTGAATAACCTTTGTTACAAAAAGTATTAGCAGTTATATCCTAACATGCTCTATGAACAACTTAGAGCTCTAAGTTATCACATGATAAAATATGTTCAAAGATGAATAATGATTCGTCAGTGTGACTTTGGTCCTCGCGCTTTGATTAACTTATATTCTGATCACCAAAAGTAGGCTTCTCTAAAGTTTGTTCTATAGAGGCTGGCTCCTTCAGAACCTAATCTTTCAAAATATGATCTTCATATTTATCTTTAAGTGTTCAGAGTTAGAACCAATGTTTGTATTTAATATGGATTTTACCCTTTTATTCTTTAAATGATTTATTATCATCAAAGCACAAGGTATATTAGACAAACTAATATTGTTCTAACATTAACTACAGTAGTGACACCTCGAAGATGCTTTCTTGTTGCTTTTGTTATGAGGGTACACATGTTGAGCAGGATGCTCGGACATGTGATCATTCATTAGAAACTCAATTTTCTTCTCATGAGCAACAAACTTCTTGGTGAGAATTTTGAACTTGTAGTCAACCCATATAACCTTCTTCTCCCTAATCTCCCAAATCTCATATAACATATCAGAATCCCTATTCAATGTACGTACATATTTTTTCATGAGTAGAGCACTTACGACCTTCTTTTAGTTCTTTTCTCTCAAGCAAGGTTCCTTCCGCCCATTGAGTAAATCTCTATAAGTTTCATTAAGCTCTTCTGCTAAGATATCTTCCTCACTAGACTCACTACAAGAGTCATATTTTTCAAGGAAATCCATCACCTTATTCGCTATTTCTCATTCACTTTCATAATCAGAATCAAACAAAGAGATTGATAATCCCTTTTAACGATTCTTTAGAAAAGTAGGACATTCATATTTAATGTGACAAAACCCTTCACATTCATAGGACTATGTTCCTTTGCTTTTGTTAGGTTTGTAATCAGCTTTGCTCTTATTCAGGGAACTGATGTCTGACACCTTGTGTGGACATTTATCCTCCACTTTTTGTCCAGCCTTCTTAAAGCTTGATTAAACTTTCTCCCAACAAGGACTATATCCTCTAAAAAAAGTTTCTTCACCTTGATCTTCATCCTTTTCAGTGTTGGACATAAAAGTTATGCTTTTATTCTTCTTTTCAGACCTGTCATTCAAGGACATCTCAATGGTTTGTAAAGAACAACCGAGTTCATCAACTTTGATGCTGATTAGGTCTTGAGATTCATCAATAGCTATGATATTCATATCAAACTTCTTTGGAAGAGATCTTAGGATTTTTCTGGCCAACTTTTCTTCAGACATCTTCTCTCCTGAAAAAATGAAGTATTGGCAATGTTATGTAGTACGATTTTGAACTCAAAAATAGATTTATCTTCAATAATTCTCAGATTCTCAAACTCAGTAGTGAGGAGCTGCAACCTTGATATTTTAACCTTGAATGTGTCTTCATGTGCAGTTTTGAGAATCTACAAAGCATCTTTAGATTCAGTACATATGTTGATCAACCTAGACATGTTCTTACCCATACCATTTAAAATAGCATTCAAAGCTTTGGAATTTCCAAGAGTTTCATTATCTTCAGCGTCAGTCCACCCAAGTTCTGACTTTAATCTTGATGTACCATCTTGAGAAATAATCACAGGGTATTTCCAACCTTTTACCATAACCTTCCATGTCTTGTTCATGAGTTTGAGAAAAGCAACCATATCGGTTTTCCAATAATCATAATTAATGTCATCCAAAATAGGTAGTCTATTGACAGACCCTCAATCCTTAGTGATGTCCATCTGAATAAATTTATTTTCCTTGGAGCTCGGCCAAACTGAATATAGTGCCTGCTCTGGTTTCAATTGAAAGTTTGTTCTTAAGGGGGCAAATGTTGGACCAGATGTGTAAGCCAACATTGTTAGCATCTTACACCACAATTAACAAACAGTTGATAAATAAGATTATCAATGCATAAAGAAATAAAATGACACAGAGAATTATTAACCTAGTTCGGTGAAACAACACCTATGTATGAGGGGTGTAACACCCAGAATTCAATTAAATTATTTAATTGAACTTAGTTCCATTTTATTTTAGTATTTGAGTAATTTAATATGCTTTTTATTATTACTTGGTGAATGTATCTGCATTAGTTGGTATGTTGGTGGAAGTTAGGAAGAGTGGTAGACATTAACTAGAATTTTTAATTAATTTTAAAAAGAGTAGAAATATAGAATAGTAAATAAAATAATATAAATAGTGATATTTTAGTGGAAATTCACTACAAGAAAAAAGGAGATTTACGACACTTGAGTTGCGACAGTTATCAGAAAACCGTCCTTATTTATGGATTGCGACGGTTTTCACGACAGTTAGGGTCAACTGTCGTAGATTTTTTGTGACAATTATAAAAAAACCGTCCTTATTCCTGGACTACGACAGTTCTCACGACGGTTTGAGCCAACCGTCGCAGATTTTTTAGACATGTTGTATAAATTAATTGCGACAGTTACCAAAGAACTGCCCTCTTTCCACACTCGCGACAGTTAAGGTGAACTGTCGCAATTACTTTAGCCAATCATAATCACTATTTTTTTATTCCTTTGATTTTCCACTTTTTTTCTTTCATTTTTATTTTTCAACCTTTTCAATTTTATTAATTAATTTAATAAATAATTATTATAATTATCATGACAATGCAGTTTAATATTTTTGTCTAAAATAATAGTAAAATATGTTATGTTTTATTATATAAATAGTTAATTTTTATTAAAATTAATTTTGGTAATAATATCACTACAAGAAAAAATTAATTTAAAAATTAATTTTTCAACATTTGATTTGCGACGGTTATAGAAAAACTGCCTTGAAAACATACTTGTGACACTTATTACGGCGGTTCAGTGCAACAGTCGCCATTCATTATTTTAACTTTTAAAAATTAAAACACCAAAATTGAGAGATCATTCAACATATAGAAGTAGCCTCCGTATTTCTTCACACTTCAAACTACCGCCTATAATTCGCTTTCTGCTTCCCTTTTCTCCCCATAAAGCCTATATTTCTCCCCTAATCACAATCCCTCAGTCTTGATATCTGTAATCGATTTTTAAAAATAATTTCTCCCCCAAATCGCATTTTGTCAAGTCCTTCAATCTCTCATACTCTCTGGATAAATGATGGCAAACACAGTTTTTATTTGACGTTACAAGATGAAAAATCCCCCATTACTTTCGATTTTCATCAGGTTTGTCAATTTGATTAATTTTTTTAAAATTCTTTTAACCTAAAAGCTTAGTTTTGGAATTAGTTGATGATTCCTTGTTTCTTGCCTTTTTCGTTGGAATTTTATTTTGCAGTTGCTGTTAAAGTTAGAAGACAACAGATTGATTGAAACTGGTATTTCGGTTGAAGACTTCGCCGGTTAAAGCTTTGGCAGAAAGGAAACCACTGCATGAAATAGGGAAGGTTGAAAGATTGGAGGGGATGAGTGTTAAAGGAAATCTAAACCGAAAGAAGTAATCATTCTTTCCCCTAGAATGTCTGTTTGTCTTTAATTTCAGTGAATGTAGTCACAAAGTAACTTGACCATTGATAATAGTTTGACGGTTCAAATCGGTTTGTCTAATTTACGATACGAGATCTTGGTCAAAATATGATGATAATTCGATTGACTATATTTCTATTGGTACCAACAGTTTAGCTCGTATGCATGAAATAGTGTCTGACTCTGAGGCATGATAGTTCGATTGACTACATTTCTATTGGTAGTACCGACACTTCAGTTTGTATGCATGAAATAATGTATAGTGTCTAACTCACATTCATGTATTGTAGTCACATTCAATTAATTATTAATGATGTCTCAGTCAGAGTAGTCAATAGCGACCAATAGAGGTGTTATGCTGCTATAGCGGAGCGGAAGCCAATCACTATGGGAAGAGTTTTGGCGGTGCAGAACACTATAGCGACCACTATAGGATAAATAGTGGGTAGCGGAGCAGAGCGGTTCCTGCCCCAGAGTGGTTCCTGTCTAGTTAATATTTTCCTCTACACCAATTGTTCAGTGTTGGATCAATGTTTGGTCCAAATTAGATGGGGAATTTAAAAGTGGTAAGAGTTAAAAGTGAAATCGAAGTGTCTGTACTGTGTTATATAAGAGTTGAAAGTGTCTGATGAGTGCTTATGCAAATATTTTATTGTGTTAGTTCTCTCTATCTTTCTCAACATTATCATTTGATGCTTGTGTTTTGTTTGTTATAGCGTTTTCACTCCATACTATAGTGAAACTGTGCTTTATAGTACATCTGAATTACAAAAGGAGAATGAAGATGGAATATCTATTCTATTCTATCTTCAAAAGATATTTCCAGGTAATGTTTCTATTCTCTTTGATTCCCCTTTGTGAAGAATAAAAATGTTAATGTTTAAAGTTCTTAGAGTTCTCAGTACTCAATGTATCTGAGTATATTAATGAATCATGATGTAAAATTGAAAGCTTACCTGACTTTTTCTGAAAGAACACTAATACAATATTATGTTTCTAAATATTGACCGACTGAACCCTTGTAAGAGCTGTATTTACTTTTCACACCTGCAATTTTTATCCATTAATCATTGTCTTGAAACTTCATTATTACCCTACTGTGTTTCCCTTCCCCAATCTTATCCAATTTTAGAGCAAAAGAAAAAATAAAATAAAAGTAAGAGGGGAAGTAAATTTATCATGCTAATTTATCTGTCAAGAAAGAACTGTGTGAAAAGCTATAGCTGTGTGTGGATAGGAGTAAAACACGGAATGGGTTTTGCTATGATGAACTTTGCTAGTTTAGGATTGAAATTAACTGTTTTATATTGCAGATGAATGGGACAACTTTCTTGAAATAATCGGTCAAGTTTCATCTACTGAGGATGCATAACTTCAAGAAAGTTCTAGTGACACTTTGGAACTTCGTTTGAAACTCTTTTATCCTGTAAGTGAGTTGTAAGGTTTCCTGACACAAGTTGACTAGAGTTTTCCTGTGCTTCAGTGGGATTCGAGGTTGCTTTTTTGGCATTGCGAACATGATTCTGGTGAGCATCTCTACTGATATTTGTGGATATGACTAGATGATTCATGTCAAATGGACTCGAAAACCATAAAGAAACTAAGAACTATAATTATCAGACCAAGACTATTTTGTACTTGAGCAATGACCATTTGCAGGCTTCTGTCCCCATTGAATTTGACTTTTAGGGTTTTCTTCAACTTTGTTGTACAATTTTTTTAAATGTGCAGGTTAAGAGAATGAGAGAAACATTATACTCTTCCCTCCTTCTTCAGGTTCTGCTTCACTGGATAACTGACCTCTCGCCGCATTTAGTTTTTTATTTGGTGTGGTTAACTCATTTGATAGTGTCCTTATTGTAGGATATATCGTTTTTTGACAATGAAACAGTAGGAGATTTGACAAGTAGACTTGGGGCAGATTGTCAGCAAGTTTCAAGGGTTATTGGAAATGATCTTAACTTGATATTGCGCAATGTCCTTCAGGTTTATTTATTTACGAAATATGTAATGCTAATAGAAGTTATCCTGCATGATGGAGGCTTTAATTGTTTTTTTCCCCCTGTTTTCCTAGGGGGGAGGTTCATTAATCTACTTGTTGGTTTTGTCTTGGCCACTTGGTTTATGTACGTTGGTGATATGCTCCATATTAGCAGCGGTCATGTTACGTTATGGAAGGTAATTCTTGGTTGATTTTCTTCAAATTCGTCATTTATAAACTTGATATTGCATTTCTTGTGGCTTACAGTTGACTAGTGCAAATTATATGAGCAATGCTGTTAATTTGATTATATATTTCTGCATAGGTACCAGAAGAAGGCAGCAAGGTTGATCCAAGAAGTCACTGCTTCTGCTAATAATGTAGAATACAATGCCTTACACTACAATAATTTGTTTCGTTTTTTTATGAATTGTCACCATGATCACAATTTTCTCCACATTGAAATCGTAGGTAGCTCAAGAGACATTCTCTCTTATTAGAACTGTTCGAGTTTATGGAACAGAAGAAGAAGAACAGGAGAGGTGATAATGCCATTGCAACTATAACATTTACTGTCCATTCATTTGTTACCATTGTTTTTGTTCTATTCATGCATATCGTCCATCTCTAACCACAGGTACAAATTGTGGCTGGAAAAATTAGCTGACATAAGCTTGCGCCAAAGCGCTGCATATGGATTTTGGAATTTTAACTTCAACACTCTTTATCACTCAACTCAGGTATGGATCACAGTGTTTTCCATGTATTTATTTATTTGTTTTGAACCTATGAGCTGATATATTGAATAAAAAATGTTCTAGAATTAATAATCAACAATTTTCTAAGTTCAATTAAGCCTTTGTACTTGACTCTTGCTTTTATTGAAACATTTAAATGTTATAGGTTATTGCCGTGCTATTTGGAGGAATGTCTATTCTAGCGGGTCATATTACAGCAGAGAAACTTACTAAGTTTATACTATACAGTGAATGGTTAATTTATTCAACCTGGTGGGTGGGCGACAATATATCCAATTTGATGCAGTCAGTTGGAGCTAGTGAAAAAGTGTTCAATTTAATGGATCTCTCACCTAGCAGCCAATTTATCACAGAAGGCAAGCGTTTTTAAGAGCCATGTTCAATTCATCTACTTCATTAGTAAAAAGCTTCTTATTGATTTCATCCTTTTCATGCTTCATTTGACTTTACCAAGTTACTACCTGTATATAACTCTAGTCGTCTACTTGTAGTATCATATAATATAACTAAAAATAGAAAAGAGAAGCTCTGATGATAGACAAGATGAACTACCACGCACCAGTTTTGTTCTTATTTTGTCGTATTCAAATATATTGAAGGTTGGATGTAATTTTTGCTACAGGAATGAGGTTGCAAAGTTTAACGGGGCATTTGGAGTTTGTAAATGTATCTTTTCACTATCCTTCGAGGCCAACGGTAAGCCTCGTAGTGATATCATCTCCATACGACTCATATTGTTGACAACTTGTATATTTGGTACTCTTTAGTGCTGACAGCTTGTATATTTGGTACTTTTTATCATTGTCTGTTATACAAGCTCAATTAGTGACATTCAATTGTGACAGGTATCTGTAGTGCAACACGTAAACTTTGTTGTCAATCCTAGCGAGGTGGTTGCCATTGTAAGAAATTGCTTCGAGTCTCTTGAATTCGTTCCTTCCCTGCATAATGGCTAAGAGGCTAATCTGCTGGTTCTTTTCATTTTGCATAGGTCGGTCTTAGTGGCAGCGGAAAAAGCACATTGGTGAATCTTTTGCTCCGTCTCTATGAGCCTACAAGTGGTCAGGTAGAGTTTGTTTATCTCCTTAAAGCCGAGATTGAACTAAGATAGTTTTAATTAAAATGAATCGCCAAGATAAGCAGAATATTAACAAAATGTTTTATTGCAGATTTTGATCGATGGTGTCCCTCATAAAGACTTGGATGTCATGTGGTGGAGAGAGAGAATCGGATATGTGGGACAGGTACTTAAGAAACTAACGAAAAAAATTCATTGAATCAACATAGCTCCTTTCTTATGGCCGAATTTTTCTTTGTACAGGAACCAAAGCTATTCCGGATGGATATTAGCTCGAACATCAGATATGGATGTACTCGAGATGTAAAGCAGGAGGATATTGAGTGGGCTGCGAAGCAGGCCTATGCTCACGACTTTATCTCAGCACTTCCTAATGGTTATGAAACACTTGTTGATGATGATCTTTTAAGTGGTGGACAAAAACAGCGAATTGCTATTGCTAGGGCCATTCTTAGGGACCCAAAAATATTGATCCTTGATGAAGCCACTAGTGCATTGGATGCTGAAAGTGAACACAATGTGAAGGTATGAAAGATTATAGAAAATGAAAATATCTTTGGAGTCCCATCAAATTTGAGTACCTCTTCAACCTTGTTCGTCCTCCATCCATCGTTTCTGCACTTTGTTTCTTTCTTCTGCAGTTCCAGCATACAAATCACACATAACATTTCCCTCCTCTCTGCATTCCGTTCTTCAACCGCAGCAGCCGTTGTCGTTCCTCCTTGTCCGTCGAAGTTTGATAGGAGAATTACGATAGGTTCTAAGCCTGAACTCCCGGTTCTTGACAATATTTCAGACTCAAAAGTCGGAGCTATTTATCTCAGAGATGCTGCATCGCCAATATCAAAATATTACGAAACGAAAAAGTTGGAGCCAAAAAGCAATGAGATAGTACCAGCTTCTGATGTCAAGGTAACATCAACTTCTCTTTTCTTGGAATTTGTTTGAGAGATGGAATTCCAATTGAAATGTTAAATGTTCTCTTAAATTACGTGTGTTATATTAATGCAGGGTGCTCTAAGGAATGCAATATGACAGGGACTCCAAAGATATTTATTTGTGTCCTAAACGTCTCGATGCCACCCATTTTTCAGGTTGAGGTTGGATAATATAGAAGTTAGCAAGGATAGATCTGACAAGAGTTTTTCTATTATGAGGTTAAGTGTTTTTCTATTATGAGGTTCAAGTGGTAGTAGACAATGGTCAATGGTCAAGGTTCAAGTATACATTTTTGTTTTATACACTAAGTAGTATTTATTTTACAATGCAAGTTAGTGAGGTGAATGGTGATGATGTAACTTGTCTCTTCAAAATATAGAGGTGTTACAAGGTTTGAAATTTGAAACCCCCATATACTATCCAGTGATTATCATTCTCTTGTATCTCTAATGTTTTTTTAGTTTGGATCCTTCAGACACCGCCAAAGTGGTAAATGGCAAGCAAGAATTGGTCGAGTGGCTGAAAACAAAGATAGATACTTGGGAACATTTGGCAAGCTCTTTCATCTTCTGATATTAATAATTTTCTATTTTATACAATATAATTGGATTTAGAGAAATGCCTGATACTCCAGAATAACACTATTAGCTTATTCTGCTGATATTTTAACCAATCTCATAGATTTTTATCCATATATGTTTTGAGATGCCTTTAATTCACACACTCAGGACATTAGTAATTCTGAATCAACATTATCACACCGTATTTGAAGTTCAATATTCTGAATTTAAAGTTGAATATTCTTGATTCTTGTATGTTTATAGAAACCGAAGAAGACAAAGCTGCATAGGCCTCCGACGTTGCAGCCCTAAAGTACAAAGGTGCAAATGCTATAACCAATTTTGATTCAAGTATATACGATATGGAATATATATCGAAGAATCCTATTCCAATTGGTCGAGCATCAAAACGCTTGAAACCTTCCCAAGAATCAGAAAAGAAAGCTCCTAGGAGCAGGACTGTTCAACCTCCTTGTACAAACATGAGGAAGTTTTGCTTTTGGAAGAGCGTGTTGGTGAAACCAAAAGATTAGCAACAACTAGAAGACTACAAAACTGATTATGAAGGGCTCATGATGATACTAGAAGACCACAACTGATTTTCTGTATTGGTGCTAACTGGAAGTAATTTTTAAGCTTTTGTAGATGTTCATGTCTATCCTCTAAGGCAAAGTCATACCAAAGAATTCTTCAGCCATCGGTAGAAAATCTTGGATCATCATTTGGTGTGGAAAATTGGGCAGAATATCTTGGATCATCATAGGTTGTAGAGTTATATTGATTATATTGTATATATCAAGTTATAGATTATGACATTTGATCATTTAGATATTCATAAGTATATATTTAGTAGAAAATATAATACTTTAAGTTATAATAAAATATCAATTTTTTTTAAGTTATATAAATTTATATATTTGTTATATGTGAGTCTTTATATATTTGATATACGTGAGTCTTTATATATTTGATATATTATCAAAAAATAATAATAGTTTAAATTAAAAAAACTATTATAAAAAAATGAGATGAAAGTAATTTAAATAAAAATAGAATATTATAAAAAAAATTTATAGATAAAATTACGACAGTTTAAACCGTCGTAACTAGTATAAATAATATTTAGAATTAGTAAATATAATTACGACGGTTGAAAACCGTCACAATATGGAGATTACGACAGTTAGCTACCCGTCGTGAAAATAAATAATACTTAAAATTAGTAAATATAATTACGACGGTTGAAAACCGTCACAATATGGAGATTACGACAGTTAACTACCCGTCGTGAAAATAACGACGGTTTGTACGACAGTTTTCACAACCGTCGCAATACAGCCTCGCGACGCACGTTTCTGCGACGGGGTTGAAACCGTCGTAACTTACAAACTGCGACGATTAAAACCGTCGTAATATGTCAAAATGAACCGTCGCAATTTGCCAATTTTCTTGTAGTGATTAGAGTTTTTAGAAAAATAAGAGAAATTAGTGATGAGAAAGGTGAAAGTGTAATAACCAAAATAAGGGAATTATGTTTTTATTTAAAAAGAAAAGTGTGGGGGTTGAGAGAGTTTACTGATACATAGAAGTTGCGTTGGGAAAAAAAGACGACAAAGTGAGAAAAATGAAGAACAAGAGCTTGAGGAAGGAGAACATCATAGCTAGAGTTTGAGTAATTGATGTAAATTCAGATAAGGGGGGAGGATTACTCTAATATTGGTGTCAATTTTATGAAGGGTAGAGAGGGATCCTCACCCTCCTCTAGGTTTTTCTCTTTTTCTCCACGGTTGAGTTTGTGTGTTTTGGAGAAGGCTTATATAAAACTTATCTTGAATTATTGTGATAAATATGAATTAGTATTTAATTCTTATTGTTAAAATTTGTGTACCATCATATTTAAAATTTGGTTTGTTGGTGTTTATCAATATGTGTTAATATGATAAATATGTTATTGAGTTGTTAATGAATTGATGAGAAAAATGATGATGTGTAGATTCTGTCACACAATTATGTTTTGATGATAAATTAATTATGTAAAATATTTATCCATGTTTGAACATGATTGGATAGAGTTTATAATGAATATATGATGAAAGAAGATGAGTTAAAAGTGAGATTTTTGAAAAAATTCCATAAACCAAATGATTGGTTCCCCTGGAACAATCTAATGATTCACCAAACTGAGTGGAAAAATATTTGACAAGCTCACACCAATTGATTGGTCCATCAACAACAATATATTGGTTCCCTTGAAACCAATATATTGGTCCACCAACAACAATCTATTGGTTCCCCTTTCTCGTTTGTTTTGTGTTGCTTCGTACATGGTTGTATAGATACTCAGGAGGAGTAAGTGTTGTTGTGAGTTGGAAGGTGGTATTGGAGTTTCTCTTCGTTTATTTTATCATTTTATCGCTATTTAGTTGGTTTAATACTCTGATTTATAACATCGGAAACAAGACATTTTATATGTTTTGAGTCTATCATTGGATTATGTTACTTTAATTAAGTATCTCAATTTGTTGAGATAATTGAAGTTTATGTTAAGTATTGAGTTCCGCTGCGAGTTTTGGAATTATTTATAAAATATGTATATCATGTTTGAGTAGCATCCTAAAATGTGAATTTTATTCTTTAATTTATAAGTTGGGGGTTTTAGAGTGTTACAAGGGCCCCTCTACCCAAGAAAGGTAATTCACAATCTTGAATTAGTACAATTAGTCATATAAGAACTACAATCCTGTGTTGTTCAAGTCTCTTCCTAATTATAATAACTTTCTATTTATGTCCCCCTAAACATGAAAATCCCTCTCACTTTCTGTCCATCACTAATCTCAAGTGATCAACTTATTAAACAGATCACTAATTCTAAGTGATCAACTCAATAAATAGATCGTTAATCCTAAGTGATCAAGTCAATAAGCAGATCGCTAATCTCAACTCCCAAGTGATCCACTCAATAGAAAACTTGGGTCTGTTTGGTTCAAATGAGGGGGAGGGGAGGGGAGGGATTTTAATGAAGGGGAGGGGAGGGGAGGGGAGGTGAAGGAATTTTTTAATCAAATAAGTGTTTGGTTCAAAAGAGAGGAGGGGAGGGGAGGGGTTTTATTAATAATTTACGTTTTTATCCTTATGATCTTATATAAGTCATATGATATTAAAATGTGAAAAATTCGTGCGTATTTTTGTTGGTAATAAAATTTCTAATGTTGAGTGATTAAAAAAATATTTATTTGTCACTAAAGTTAAAAAATTGAGTACAATCGATTCGACTTATAACTTTCTAACATAAATTAAACTATATGCCAATAACATCGTTTAAATTGTGATGAATCATATAACAAAACAAATATATAAAATAACTTATTACTAAATATTAATGGTTCAAAATATTTAATAAAATGAATAAACAAAAATAAATAAAATGATATGGTTTACAATTTGATATAAAAGAAAATATGATAGAGTACATAACAAAATTAAAAGAAAAAAACAAATATAACTAAACATAATTTTTTTTATAAAAAAAAAGACATTGATTATGATTTATATTAATTATAAAAATTATAAAATAATTTGAAGGTGAAGAACAATTATAATAAATTGATGAAAACAATCAAGAAAAAACAGTAACATAAAAGATAACAAATAGTTTTGAAATAATAAAATTAAACTGAGGATGTTTTAGTAAATATAATAATTTTTAAATATCAAAATTCATATTCCCTCCCCTCCCCTCCAAAATCCCCCCAATTCGGAGGGAACCAAAAAGTGTGTTTTGAAGGGATTTTTCTCCCCTCCCCTCCCCTCCCCTCCTAAAATTTGAACCAAACATATTTAATTAAAAATTTCCCCTCCCCTCCCCTCCATCTACCCCGAACCAAACACACCTAAGAATGTTGAATTACAACTCAACTAAACAAATCAACATTATGCCTTGTGATATGAATGAGGGCGCTAGTGTGGTGTACAATCGGCAGAAACAAATGACTCAAATAAAAACTCAAACACTAGGTATCTTCAATACATGCTCATCCTCTTCAAAGATGGAATTGAGTTTCCTTAAAAAAAGTTTCTTCTATGCTTTTTCAATGGGTATAAGCAGCTTTGATCTCGTTTAGAAATATAGAAGATTTAGTTGAATTTGATTTATTCCGCAATATGAT